TAGTTCTTATGTATTAAATTAACCCATTTCTATTAATCTATAAGTTGCCATGTGGCTTGTGGCTTACCTGTACTTTTCATCTTACTTCTCATGGTGGTGGCGGCTGGCAGTATCTCTTCACTCAGCTTTCCACTTCTCAGCATTCTCCTCTCTGCTTATCCGGCCTATTCTATACTTCCTACCTGGCTATGTCCAATGAGCATTTTATTTATCAATCAATCAATCAATCAGAGCAACATATTCACAGCATACAGAAAGTCATCCCCAGCAAGAAGGAATTTGGAATCATTTCCCCACTTAATCCAAGAAACCAAACATGGAGAAGTAGAATAGGAAATGAGTGATGATATGCCTATGGTGTCATGTTTCAGCCATCAAGGCAGTTCATGGTTTAATAAAAATAGTTGAATTTAGATTCAGACGGATTCTTGAAATCATATGTTTTTGAAGTAGTGTGAATATACATTTTTCAAACACTTATGAGATTAAAAAATTAAACCCCATATTTATCTGTTTATGACAGGGATGTGTTTAATAAAAAGATCACTTTAGTTATGTTTTTATTGCTGTGATGAAACACCATGACTAATGCCAGTTATAGAAGGAAGTGTTGATTGGGGCTTGCAGTTCTAGAGGGATCAGAGTCTATCATCACCATGGGATGGTGGCGGAAGGGAGCATGGCAGAAGGCCCTGGGTCAGCACTGACATCCACAGGCAGGAAGCTTACATATTGAGACACAAACACAAGGAAGAGAGACACTCAGAATGATGGAGTCTTTTGAAACATCTGAGGCCACCCCCAGTGACACACCTTCTCCAAAAGGCCACACCTCCTAATCCTTCCCAGACAGTTCTACTGACTGGAGACCAAGCGGTCAAACATATGAGTCTATAGCAGGGCATACTTATTCAAGTCATTTTGATGATTTCCCTTTGGGTTGTCTCTATTATATTCATTTTATCTATTTATTTATTTATTTATTTATCTATTTATTTATTTATTTATTTTTTGCCTATGCTTTGAGTAAGTGACATCTTTAGACACAGCCTCTGGGTGAGCATACATACACAGTAGCAAATAGCTCCTAAAAGGACACTGGACAAACCGTGAACACTGAGAGATAATTTTTAAAGTTCTCCAATAAGATTTTGCTAGAAACTTTTGGGTTTATTCTTCCTGGATTATTCCTTAGAAACCTGATGTTTTTCTCAAACAGCCACAACCTTTGACATGGAGCTCATCTATCTGAGCTGCGTTGCAGGCTCAAGGCAGGTACTAATGAATCCACTGTCTGGTAGAACTGAGCTGTCTCCTCTCTTCCCCGACACACAGTGTCAGAGGGATAAAGCCAACATATCCACAATGACACAGTTGGGCTCGCTTTACTGGGATGTGGGATATTTTTAAGAATGTCCCTGTCAAAAGGATAATGATTGACTTCCATCAAGGAAAAGTATGCTTCTGTATAAAATACAAATGTTGTGTTCAAATAAAACAGAGGGGAAGCAAAAGTCTGTGTGAAATTGCTGTTCACCTTCGTGAGATTCTCCTCACAGCTTCTGAAAACTCCCCACAGGACCAGCACTAAGCTTCTCTTCATTAGAACCCAAATTTCAATTTCAATTTTAATTAGAATAGATGACTAGAATGCTTTCCTTTCTCTGTAGTTTCTGCATGAAGCTACACTGCAACTAGAAGCATGTCCCATGTTCTCATAAAAAGATTAAGGTCCTATTCCACAAAAACTTCCTGCTGTCCACAAAAGTCAATTTATAGCCACTCATACTAATTTTTGTGGGTGAACTGCTTTGGGAAGAAAGTGTTGTTCCTTCATTTATCTAGGAGCAAATTCAGACAGCAAACTTGGTTTTAAAATTTTGCAGGTGAATAGCTTTACTATTAAATATCACATGGAATTCTAGGCTTTCCTTCAGCCCTGTTCCAAATCATTTATAATTCTGAGTATTGTGACAATGTATACAAGGTAAAGTAAATGCCTGGGGTCGGATGATATATAGTATTTCATAACTCAAACTTGTTCTGTGTTACCCAAATGATCATTTTATGTCAACAAAATCAGCATCAATCATGGCCATATAATCAAGGGCCTGAACTTCTGGTACTTCTGGGTTTGTAAGGCAATTGCATTTGATCAGTCACTCACCCAATCAGCGAATATCTACCAAACTTCTCTTCTGTTCCAGAAAGTGTTCAGAGGGGAAGGAGGTGGAATTAGCAGTGAATGAGACTGACGAGTCTTGATTGCACACAGCTTACAACTTCTCCACTGCTTAGGAATAAAAGTGGGAAAGGCACTATTATCTACACTTCCTAGACTGAAGGAACTCGGGATCAAAGAAATTGTGTGGTTAGACTAGGATCATCACATAGCTGATGAGTGGCCCAGCTGTGACTCACAAAACTAGGGTATCAGATGGCAGTAGAAAAAAAAAGCGATGGAATAAATGGTTTTCTTTAAGACAGTGCTCCACCCTCCCCCTGCTCAATATAGTCACCATAAGACAAATCTACCTGAAGATCTCCTCATCAAATGCTGAGAGAGCTTCAAATGGAAAAGAATATTAAAATAAAATGTAGCCATTCTCTGTCTCATGCTTCAGTACCCTTCTATGGGAGTTTTTTCCTTAAATTGACAATAGTTTAGTCTGTTTGTTGTTACAAAGGTTGTATGTGGTGTTATAGCATGCACTGGAAAAATAATGACTGGAAAGACAATAGCCACATAATCTTATGACTTATGGACAAATAGTCACATTCTTTCTCAATATACATGTATTAAATTATTAAATACAACCATACTATGATGCTGGTCTACAAAGCACCTGCATTCCACATTCATAAATTAAGATCCCCATGAGGATTTTACTGATTATGCAACATTTCGTTGTGGGAAGATGTTATCACCTACGGAACCTCTCTTCTTTTAGTAGGTGTTTCAATTGTTTCCATTTGGACCTTATAGAAGAAACTAATACTAACATCCTTGCAGAAAGATGCTTACTCCTTGAATAAACTCATAGTAATGGAATTGCTTGAGTCCTAATGTAGATAAATTTTAAACCCCACATGTCTCAGTTGGTAATCTCTACTATCAGAATTGGAGGGTGTCAACTCTCCAGCTTCCTTCTAAGGTCTGACCACATAATAAGCAAAGGAAAATATCAGCTCACTGTTGACATTTTGAGATCCTAATTTTTCTTGGTATAAAATTACCATATTATAAGAAAGAAAGGAAATATTCAGACTCACCAAAATCAACCTCATAAAATAACCTCACATCTGAGACATAAAAATTAATAGTCTCACATATCTTTATATTATTTTATTTGTGTTTGATACTTTTCAGTATAATTGTTTAGTATAATGGTTCAGTATAAAATCTATTTGTTTAGGGGTTTCTTTTTAAAAGAAACATTTCATTGTAAAGCTTACATGCATGGAGAAAACTATATAAATCATAACTGATACATAACTGATTTTAAACACCGCCATTTGATGTGACCTAGCTACAGGAACAGAACATTAGAAGCCACCTCCCATCCATCTATCCTTCCACAAGCCCCCTTGACTCCCCACCAACTATATTCACCCCTCAAAAATATACATATTTTCTCATTTGTATGCCACACACTAATTTTGCCTCGTTTCTAAGTTTATGTATGTACATAAAAATCACACAGTAAAAGACCTTTAGTGTTTGCTTTTTTCACTCAAAAGATTCATGCACATTTTTGCACACAGTGGAAATCTGTTCTTTTTCATTATTTTCTTTTTTTACTGCTATAGTTTGTTGAAGAAAAATTATGCAATGTTTATGAAAGCCTGGTAAGGAAGATCTCATTCAGGCTATAACAATCAGGGACAGCTATAATGGGATTTTTGCAGTGAGGCAGACTATTAGTCTCTGTGTTGAATACAGCATAGACAATTGGAGATTTATAGCCAAGGAAGTGGTAGGGATTGCAGCTGAACTGAGCCTGCAGGGTTCCTGTTACAGCCCCAGACCAGGTGATCAGCCCCAAGTTGGAGGGTGGTATGGGAGAAGAAACCTGATGAGATAAGTGGGTTGTTCAGATGTTGAGGAAGAGGTCCTTTAAGGTATTTAGTAGGGCTCTTGCTAGAACTGGATTCTGTAGGAAAGAACACAGCCAGGCTAAGAAAGGTAGGAAACATTGACACTTGTCAATTGTTACGTGATTTTGTCAACGTTTTTGTATTCTTCTGTCTACCGGTGACAGACACTTGGTTTGTAATACATGGCGCTTCAGCCTTACATGTGGACTAGCCCTTGTTTTCTGTGTTTTCTCTTTGCCACCTGTATGTATAATATGCATTATATAATCATCGAGGGGTTAATGCCTATTTCCCTGATGACTACTGTTTATTGTGTTTGTATCGGGTGTCTCTGAGGCTGCTCTGTCTCTCTCAAGTGCCAATACTTTAAAATTTTTTATAAGAATTTGAGTGCTTTCTATTGAATAATTCTCTCTTGTTATGTGTCTACTGTTTTGAGACTTACAGAACAAGTTCCTAATTGTCATTATTTTATAATCTTAACTACTTTAGCTCATATTTTGATGTGAATTTTTAAGGCCTGACCTCTTTCTGATGGTATTTCTTATCATCATTTATTAAAAATATTCTTCATCATGGGCCTGTAGAGATGGCTCATCAGTTAAGAGCACTTGCTGCTCTTCAAGAAGACCAGGGTTCTGTTTCCTGTACCCACGTGGTTGCTTACAACCATTTATAACTCTAATTCCAGGGGATCAGAACCCCTCCTCTGACCTCAGCAGCATCAGGTACACTTATATACGTGCGTGAAACACTCATGTACATAAAAATAAGTACATCTTTAAATTTTTTTCATGCTTTTATCAGATTCCTCTTAAACCCATGGTCTGCTGGTCCCAGTATGTAGATCAACTGCTGGTCATTTTCTGCTATTGACATTGTCTTGGGTTTTCTTCATTCAACGCTGGCTTTTGGAATTGCTGGTAAATATTTGTTGAATGCTGGATTCCGTACAATAAAAATTACAGGGCTCTGAATAACTCCCTTCAGAGGAGACTCCTGCTTCTTCTGCTCTGTGCAATAGAAATTAAATATTTTATTTAATCACAGCTTAGGGATGGTCTTAAATCAGATATCAGTCTTGGTGAAGCTCAGTCTGTTTCTGGCTATCCCTATCCTAGAGAGCAATTCTCAGATGTTCCATGAGAGAGCCCCAGCCTCCAAAAGAGCTTTCCTCTTTGTGGACACTGAACTTTAGCACTTACTATTTTTAGCTTCCTCAATATCGTAAAATTACAAATATTCTGCTTCAGATTTTAACCTCTTGGATCCTGCATTCTGTGTAGGCTCATTGGCCTCTGGGATCTCACTCAGTACTCCTCACTGCCTGCCTTGTCCTTGTGAACTCCATGAAAGAATTCAGATGAGAACGTAATATGGAAAACAGAATTTATTAAGATGTAAAGTGGAGTACCCTCAAGGGATAAGAGTGGACAATGGCCAAAGAGACCATTGTGCCAATTTACATTTTTTAGGGATGCTTTATACTATTCTTTAGACTTATTTCTGTTTTGTGTGTATGAACATGTTGGAGCATGTATGTTTGTGCAGCACACACATGCTTGGTAGCAGCGAGGCCACAAGGCAGTATCAGATCCCCTGGAACTGGAGTTACACACAGTCACGAGCCACCATGTGGGCTGGGAACCAAACACTGGTCCTCCACAAGAACAGGGGCCAATCTGAACTACTGAGGAATCAACAAAGGCCCTGCTTTATACTATTTTTCCAAGTCTCTCAAGCAGACAATCAATCTAAGTGGTGCTTTCTTACCCAAGAGATGACAGGCCCCATTTGCATTAACTCTTAAGTGAGTGAACAATTGTATGTGTTTGTTCTTTACTAGAAACTCAACTGCTAGATGGTAACTTTACAAACCGTATTATATATAGTAGGAATTAGAATATAGTGTCTTCACCCAGGGCCAAATCTCATGCTTTTGAGCAGTAATCAAAGTCTCATGGTATCACTTTCTAGTTTTATAAATTGATTATTATAAGAGTGGTGCAAATTCTCAATGTCCTTCAATCCTCCTAATATCTGACTAGCTCCCTAACAAGCCAAGCACTCGTGGGCCCATTTCATGAAAACCAGTGCAACCACCTCTTCAGTCACATAAGGCATGCATGAAATGTTTCTATAAAGAGAAAGAAAGCAACGGTTCATGGGGCATACAGTCTATTTGACTACTCAACTGTGCCTTTGTATTGTGAGGACAGCCACGGATAATTCATAAACAAAAGCAAGAGACAATTGTCTTAATAAAACTTTATTCACCAAATTTGGCTACAGATTTGTAGTTTGGAGATCCTACCTAAGAAATGTGGTTATTGTTGGAAATATTAATTGGGTTACTTGAGCTCAACATACACTAAGTGTTGATATGGTCATGCTGTATTCCACCTTCTACAATTTATTTTGTAGTCAGTGCTAGATCTTTCGAACCCAGGCAGTCTTTGAGTGAAAACAGAAGCTGAGGAAGACCATAAGACTTTTTACAACTAGACCATACTTGAACCCACATTTTATTGGCCAGTTATAAGCACAGGGAGGTTGAAAAATGCAATATCTTACTGTTCCCTGCAAATTAATGAGAATTGATGGGCCTGTAGACAATTCTTACCTAAATGTGGATTGGCAAGTTTAAAACTGGGTCGTTCATCAAATCTCAGTGATCATATCTTTCCTCCCAAAGATCTGAATTGTCCTCAGCAAGAACTATAGTATTTCTTGGACCTAGTACAAAACTAAAGGCTGGATTCTCTAATGAAAAGTAAAGGGGGAAAGCCTGGTGGCCCACACCTGCTATCCTAGCACTCAGGAGGCAGAGTCAAGACCAGAGGCTCAAGGTCACCCTCAGCTATACAGAAAAATTTGAAGCCAGCCTGGGCTACGTGAGATCCTGTCTCAGTGAAAATGAAAAATAAAAAGCAAAACCAAACCAGACCAAACAAACAAACAAAAAACCTCTAGGAGAATGTTTCATTTCCTTCCTATACTCCTTCTCCACCTGTGGTGGTCATTACTTCCTCTGCTACTATACATCCTATTGCATCCATTACAGGGATGCTCGCAATGAAAGTGCACAGTTCTCGGAGATCCTAGTGAAATCCATCCTGTGAAGTATAATCTGTACTCATGACAGTCACAACATCTGTATCACAGCTGCCCCAACCAACCATTATTCCCAGGGTAGCGGGTCTGTGGTCAAGATCTCCTCTGAGACAAAGAAATCTATCTGTGAGTTCCCAGCATATCTTCTGTTGTCCTCATGAGTCACATGTAAAACATTAATCCAGGGATAAAATTATTAAGAAATTCAATATGCTGACCACAGAGCAGTGAATGCCTTGAGAGTGGAATCTTCCTTGAGGGGAGCCTAGAAACCCCTACTTCCAGGTATGTAGGAAGGGTCAGGTCCTCGGGAGTCGACTGGAATGCTCTAAATGACCATGTCCTGTTTTTCTTTCTGGCTCTTATCAACTGGAATCCTTCTGCATGACCATGTCCTATTTTTCTTCCCAGTTCTTTTCTACTGGAAAGAAAGTACATTAGACTTGTGCAAAAATTACAGAAATATTGGCCTTTAATAAGACAACCCTAAGCTGCGGTTTCTCTAAATTTTTTTCCAGGTTAAGGAAATATTAATGAAAGTGCTTGAATACTGGATCATCTATCTACTTTTTATATGCAACATTTATTGCCGTTTTAAAGGTTGTACAGGCAGTTTCTAAAGTTAACCATCTATTATTTATTCTGTACTACGAACACCATGAAGGCTCTATGGAGTGAGCAAAGAGCTCTGACTGAACTTTAATTGCCAAATGCCAGCCTTCCATAAGCCATCAGCCTTTGTCCCTTATCTGTAAAATGGGTTTGGTGCTATCTACTTCACATTACTGCAAGGGAATGACAAATAGTGACTGTGTGTACAGAAAGTAGCACACAGCATGCATTTGAAACACGGACCCTTCACCAATGTACATTAGCAATAATGCCGATTATTACTGAGAAATGGGGGAAATTTTCCAACATGACCACTAAGCTTTGAAGTTTATGAGTTTATGGGGAAAACGAATTGTAAACAAATATTTCAAAATCAGAGAATAAGTATTGCCCCAGGAGCAAGAAAGTTCTCATGTGTGGGTTATGGGAGCAGTAATGGTGGCGTGGTCCCAGCTTCTCATCTGGAATGGAGAAGATATTTGTGAGTGTATTTCCTAGCTGTCCTGGGTCTGCTGACTCTGAAAGTGGGCTCTTCTACGGTGGGAGACTGGCATAATGTAAATGTATAGCTAGTCAGTGGCTTGGGGATTTACAATGCTTCCATTATCTGTGAAATACCAGCAAGCAAATAAGGTGATGCATCTGCCCACAATCACGAGATCAGGAAATGCGAGTCATTTCTGGATATTGCCTTTAGTCCTGCCATTCGGGCAGCATTAGTTACATGCTATAAGCTCAATTGGGATGAGGAAGCATTCATATAAAATCAACATTTGTCTGCAAATTTTCCAGTTGAAGGAAAGACTGACCCTGAATACTGCCATCTCCATTGCGGATGATGATTGGACATTAGTGAATCACACAGCCTGGGTCAGCTTGAAATTGTTTTATTATGAAATTGAAATATAGTAAGGAAACTGTGCTATTTTTGTATTCCCGAGGAAGGAGGGCTGCCATGTAGCTGTGCTCTCGTGCTGAAAAGTCACCCTCAAAATAAGAAAATATTACAGGACCATCTGAGCTCTGAGAATAAATAGGCAACAAGACAATTTCATTCCACACTTACAAAGGGAAGCTCTTGCTGGAAAAATGAGTCCACAATGACCAGTCATTTTAAGGAATTAAATCGATCAGCTTCTTCTGAACTTTCATGAGCTTCTACTGAATTTATAATATAAGAGTCCTGCTGGTTTTGTTTGTTTGTTTTGTGGTGCTGGGGACCTAACTCAGGTGTCACACATGCTGGGCAAGTTTTTCTACCACTGAGCTGTATCTCCAGCCCTAGGTTTTATTTTCCATTTCAGAAATATCTAACTATTCTTAGCTGGGTCTGTGTATAAAAATACAGTAATCTGCTGAGTGCTATAGCATTCTAGCAGAGTACTGGGATCTCATTTAAATTTGGAAGATTGGAAAGGGTAACACTTGTCAATTAGCAACTCACAGGCCCACTGTATATTTGAATTCGCCAATATAAAAAATATGTATATTTATGGTGTATTCTCGATGTGTGCCTTTTATTTCCCTAGATATGTTTGGAAAGATATCAGGTTGCTAAGATAATAGACCAACCACTGTATTTAAAATATATGTGTATTTAAAATATCAGAAATTCATTTCTAAGGCTTAACGATTTGTAATGGTCACCCAAACAAATTGTCCTGGCCTCAGTTGTTAAAAACAATACCTACTTACTGTATTGTAGTTGTGGATATCAGGGGATTAAAAGTGGGTTTCCTTGAAGAGTCGTAAGGTCTAGTGGAGAATCTCTTCTCTTGCCTCATCCAGGTCTGGAGCTACCTTTATTATTTTGCTAGTGGCTCCTTCATCTTCAAAGCCAGTGATCCAGCAGCTTTACCCTTCTCTGTTCTTCAACCTTTCTCTGATGATAACCCTGACAATAACTTAGATAACTCATATGTTGTCTAGACAAGCTTCTCCCTGCACAGAACCCATAGCTTAATCACACATACAAAAACTCTTTACCATGAAGACAGCATACAGCCAGGTTCCAGGGATTGGAAAAGGCTCGTCTTTGGAAGATATTACTCAGCCTCCATAACTCTCATCACAAATCTTTTCCCTACTTCATATGTTGGCTTCATGTATCAGTCTAAAAATTCAAGTCTCTCCCATGGTTTTAATACATAAATAATTCTCTTTCTCATTGCCAAATATCCCTGCAATTACTGTTTTTTTAATCTCTCGTCCCATTCATAGTCATGTGACTATACAAACTACTTGTATTGACCACCATCAAAGCGTCTTTCTTTCTATCAGTCTTAACATATTAATCTGCTGCTGGACAGTCCCCCTCCTGCACCCTGTCACAGTTTAGAGTAGGGAGAGTTTGTACAGCTCAAGTGGGTCATTACAAGAAGAGAAAAGACAGACAGCCATGTGAAGAGACAAAGATAATGCATAGGTGCCATTGTGACAACATGGCCTGAGATTGGAGTGATCCAGATGCAAGCCAAGGAATGCTAATGATTGACAGTTGGCAGGAAAGCCTAAAATGAGCGAGAGAAGAGTCTGTGAGTTAAGACAGAGCAAGCCCCACTGACACCTTGGATTTGAACCTCTGCATTCCACATGGGAAGAGATTGTTTCTCTTGTTTGAAGACCCTCCGTATGGTAGGTTACTAAGGCAAACTTAGGAATTAAAGTACTGTTTGGATTTCAAAAGTGATATCAAGTCCTGTCCTTCACTTTCCAGGATATAATTGGCCACCATTTCTTTTCAAATTTTGTTCCCCGAGTATCACAAAAGTATGTATTTCAGGCCTAGACAGGCTATTGATATAATCAACTTCCTCAAAGTTCCCCTAATCTCATTGACACCTTTCCATCCAAATTTCACTTTCATGACAATCCACAAATCCACAAATCTGGAATGCTTTGATGCAATCCTACATTGCCTTTGGGATGAAATGTTATCTTTTTATATTAATGCACAGCTTCTCATGACCTCATTTCTATCCACCTAGACTGACTTCCTGTTATTTTCTTTCTGCCTTGAACTTCCCAGCTCCATCACCTTTTCTAACTCCATCACACTCCTGTCGTCTTGGCCTCTGTGTGTTTTGTTCACTGCTTTTAGCATAGGAATGTCCCTCCTGCACATATGTCAGACTCAGACTTCATCGTCAACCCTCTCCAAGACGGTCTCCTTGGAGACAGCATCCCTGATTCTTCCTGGAGCCCTGAGTCTTCTTTCTGCATTGCCGCCCCTTTGCTTTGTCCTCTGGAAGATGTCACTGAAGCTGTGTCCCCTGTAACATGTTGCTGATGCACTGCACCGAGAGATGCTGTTGTCAGTCTGGAAATGTGAGGCCTTTGGAGGGAGTAGCCTTGTTTTTAACTTTGGACCCTTGACATCCATCACAAAGATAACCAGAATGGGACCTTAGTAATTATCTGCTAATAGAATGTATTTTAACTAAATTAAGTGAACTAGAACACTAAAGAATTGTTGGGAAAACTTAATGTAGTAGGTTTGGGCTTTAATGGGATTGAGGATGTTAGTACCTGTCCTCACATTCATTATTCACTTACCAAGCATGTACTGTGTACCTAGATGAATCAGAAGGCTCTGCTTCACATTGAAAGGGGAAAACACGTGCCATTGCCTACAAAGACCTCACAATCACAGTCTGAAACAGTAATTGTCACATGTCATTTTGTGTACATGATCAACAGCCAGTTGATGACTCAGTGATGGTAACAGAAGAGATAGAAGAATTCAACCTTCACAGCCATCTTGCCATTATTATATTCAATCTGCGAATGGGATAAAAAATATTCACCCCAAATAATTAAGTAGGAATTTCAATCTAACCTCTATAAAAGAAAATTAGAACGCTTTAATTTGAAACTAAAAGGCGTAGATCTGAAGATGCCTCCTGTTTGGTTTTCTCCCCTCCCTTAGGTCTCTCACACCACAGCCATTCGGACTCTGTGTGGTAGGGAGCTTTCTCTGGGGGTGAGAAAATATGATAAGATTTTCAACTGAAAATGAAGGGAGAGCCGTTCAGCTCGAGGGTCCAGTGGTCTATGGTCATGTGGCACCGCTGCCTTGCACTAACGGCAGAGTACACCATGCCTGAACGTGATAGGGGAAGCCTGTTCTTCTCACAGCAGCTGAGAAATAAAGAGAAATAGGAGAAGGTCAGGATCCATAACCTATTCAAGGGCGTGTCCCTGGGCCACACTGTGTCAAATGGTCTATTACATCCCAACAGTGTTACAGTTTGCATACGTTGCGATAAAACACATATTTCCACTCATTGATGATCTACACACCAGTTAGTGTAAGAAAGGATAAAGACAGATTGATGTTTCAAGTAATGTCTCACCATTTCAGTGAAGAATCACTGTTTCCAACCTTTCGCCAGCTGTACCCTGTCTCCTGACTGTAATTACTCATGCTGGTTTTATTTTTTTTCTATATGCCTCCCTCCCTCCCTCCCTCCCTCAGCCCTGTGTTCTCCCAGGCCAGTGAGGATAACTGGACCCTGCTGTCCTGTCATGGAACCAGGGATTCCCTTGAATGGCTCAGTTAGGAGGAGGGTGTCTATACTTTTAATGTCTTCACTGCTCCTACTATGTCCACGCAGTGCCAGGGACCCCTCCAAAAGGCTGGCATTGTCTCCTACTTTAATTGCTTTCCTAAGAAGAAATCTCCTTTGCTCATTAAACTGGGCAAATATTTTCAGAGTTTGTGTGGGACAACTTGTGCATATGAATCTACTTTTTCAACGTTGATTGTATGAAATCTGAATACAGGTCAGGTATACCACATGAACACTG